CTTAGATAGAAAACTGATTGTTTGATTTGACTGGATGGTCTGGTAAACTGTAAAGTGCCTTGAGGTGACATGTGCTTTGAAATGGTGCTATAGAAATAAACTGAATAGAATAGAAATTAAAATCTCACATCATGAAAATCCAAGACTTAATAAAATGTAAAAATCTTGCTCTTGTAGTATACAAAGCGAGCCATGATCTACTTCCTGGCAATAAACAAAAAATGTGCAACAGTAGAGAAGAGAATAACTCAGCCAAGCAGGATTTATGTTATAGAAAGGGTTAGATATAGAAATAAAAAGGAGTAACATGCTAAGACAGTTTAAAAGCATGTAAAAATATGTATTTAACCCAAATATTTAAGTGTGATCATTTGCAATATTTTCTGTATGTAGTTCTAGATATCTTCTTCTTTCTGTACAACTGCTTTAAAAATAAGACATTCTGTATTTATTTAACTGTTTGATTTGTAATTCCTTCTTTAAGCAAAACACCTTATATGCCATCTGTCACCCCAAATCCCAGTTAAAGAAACATTTTCTACATCTCCAGTCTGCCACACCATTACATCATACATGTTTGTAAGTGAGGAGACATCCAAAAGGACAGGGATGTGGGGAAACATTGTCATGTCTTCACATATAATGCCATATGCCAGCTAAAGGTCCAGAGAATGAAGATTATAATGAGTGGGGCTATTCAGCTTTTGAACAAAGCCCTCATATCCGATCTTTTCATGGATATGAGTCGCAGTATGGCCAATATGGCCATCCTCCCATGTCAGAGGATGAAGAGAGCACATCCAGTTAGTTACAGTCAGAGAAACAGGACTACACTGGAAAACAGGCTGATCTCCAACATCTAGAAACAAAGGTGTTGATGGCAGCAGCACAGCTGATATTTCTCTCCAGGATGGAGTCACAGCCAAACAGGAACAAGCAAGATAAAACTTATACCTTTACTACACTGTGGGATTTTAGCAATCTTATACAATTTATTTTTTGATGACGCCCTATGGGATATGAAACTGATGATCTTTGG